GTTGGCCTCGGACCAGCAGTTCACTGGCTTCCTGGAAGGACTAGGTCCTGCCCAGCTGGCTGGACGGCAGACTCTGGCCACTCCCCCTATGGGTGAGGAGCTCCGTCCTCCCCCCGTTCTCTTGTTGACATATTGTCTTCCAGGTTCATTGATCAGGGTTGAGGCAGGGCCCAGGAATCTGTATAATGTTTATAGAAAACAAAGGTGCGTCTGCTGTTACAGATAAACGTCCAGTTTGTCAGACGTCCTGATGTTAGGGTTAGCATTAGCATTTGGAAAATGGGCGGGGCTAGGAAGTTGGTGTTGCTAACCTCTGAAAACTCACTTTTGACCTTTTGACCTGAGTCAGTGTTGGTGTTTCTGTCCGTCCGTCAGGTGACATCCAGATCGGGATGGTCTACAGGAAGGAGCGTCTGGACGTGGAAGTGATCCGAGCCCGAGGGCTTGTGGGTAAACAAGGAAACAAGAACACTCCAGGTAGAGTCGCAGTACAACTGTGATAGAACACAGTAGAACTGCAGTAGTATTTCTGAGAGAGCGTTCAAAGTTCTTTCAACGTCACTTTGTCTGTATTTACAGCGCCGTACGTGAAGGTGTATCTGATGGACAACGGAAAATGTGTGTTGAAGAGAAGAACTCGCCTCGCCAGAAAAACTCTGGATCCACTTTATCAACAACAGCTGCAGTTTGAGGAGAATCCAGAGGGAAAAGTTCTACAGGTGAAAAATAGAATCAATGTATCTGTAAATGGACTCAAATCACTGATTTTCTCTGTGGACTTTTTGTTAGCGTTAGCGTTAGCGTTCAGTCCGACTAAAGCTGACTTTTGGTTCTGACTCCAGATCATCGTGTGGGGGGACTACGGGAGGATGGATCATAAATCCTTCATGGGTGCAGCTCAGATCCTGCTGGATGACCTTGACCTTTCCAACATGGTGATTGGCTGGTTCAAGTTGTTTCCTGCCACCTCATTGGTGGATCCTGCCTTGGCCCCACTGACCAATAAGGAAACTGAGGGCAGCAAGTCGTAGCACCTGAAGGCGGAGTTTCACATTTGTAGCTTCAGGCCGAGGTGAGGGAGGAGGGGGCGAGTGTGTCTGGGCGGGCCCTAAAAAAAGTCCCACAATCCTCCTCTGCTGTTGCATGCTGCATGATGACATCACAGCGATGTGCGACAGCATCGTGATGATGTTATAAGGAGGAAGAGGGAGGAGGCCGACCCCCGACGTGGCCCCTCCCTCTGCACTTTGGGACCGTGTAACAGAGGATGCTGGGAAAAAGGGGCGCGAGGGAGGCCACGTGACCTGCCAGCCAATCACAGCAGCTCCTCTTGGGTCATGTGACTGTTGGAAAAAGACATGTCCAGGAGTGGACGCGGGGCGGAGGGGGCGGGGTCTTTGTTTTTGCATGGATCAAGATTAGACAAACAAAAGTTAAAGAACAGAAGAACATCATCTGCAAAGAAACAAATAAAAGAATTCAATTCAGCTCTGGTTCCGACTCGTTCCAAAGCAGATCAGTAATCTGTCGGGGTTTGACCTTTGATCTGAACAAACGTCTGTGTTTTTAACAGTGAATGTGATCGTGTTTGATGACGAACTCAGAGTCAGGTTCACAGGAGGGTTTATTTGTTTGACAACATTTGATTTATTTTTTAGTTTAATTCACAGAAACTCAGTCCAGTTAGTAAAGAATGATGTGTATAATCTCCATGAGGTGGACCAGGTCCTGGTCCAGGTCCTGGTCCAGGTCCTGGTCCTGGTCCAGTTCTTCACTGTCAGATTTTTTCAAGTGTGAATTCTCTCGTGTTTCCTCAAACTTGAAGACAAGAAGAAGGTTTTCCCACACTGTGAGCAGCTGAATGGTTTCACTCCAGTATGGATTTTCTCGTGTGCTGTCAGACTGCCCTTTACAGCAAAACTTTTCCCACACGTACCGCAACTGAATGGTTTTTCACGTGAGTGGATCTTTTCATGTTTTTTGAGAAAACGTGCACGGGCGAAATCTTTGCCGCACACAGAGCAACTGAACGGTTTCTCTTCAGTATGTATTTTTTCGTGGTCCTTCATGCTCCCCTTGTAGGTAAATTTTCTCCCACACACGGAGCAACTGAACGGTTGATTTCCGGTGTGTATTTTCTCATGGTTCTCCACGTTCTTCTTGGAGATGAATCTTTTCCCACACACAGTGCAACTGAAAGGTTTCTCTCCAGAATGGGTCAGCTGGTGTCTCCTCAACAGTGAAACCCAGAAAAAGGTTTTCCCACACTGAGAGCAACCGTGTGACTTCACCCCGTTGTGGCCAATCATGTGCTTCTTCAGACTCCAGTTTGTTGGAAATTTTTTCTCACACAATGAGCAACTAAACGGTATCTCTCCCGTGTGATCGGCCATGTGTTGCAACAACTTGGACCTGGAGCTAAACCTTTTACCGCACTCTGAGCAACCAAATGGTTTTTCTCCCATGTGCTTTTTTTCGTGTTGTCTCAGACTCCCACCAGTCGCAAAACGTTTGTCACATTGGGAGCAGTGGAACGGTTTCTCTCCTGAATGACTGACCACGTGTCTCAGCAGATCCGACTTGTAGGAGAATGTTTTCCCGCACTCAGAACACGACAACTTCCTGCCAACGGTCTCCCCGGGACCGTCCTGATGGTCCTCAGGTCCATCTGGACCGGGGTCCCTGCAGGGTCCAGGACCCGAGCCGTCCTCCTTGTCCTGAAGATGAGGGGGACGGCAGGAGCCAGGGTTCTTCTCCTCACTGACCTTCTCTGCAGACACGCCTCCAACAGCCGCCTCCTCCTCATTGGTCCACACCCCCTCCTCCTCCTGCTCCTCCTTGATGCCGCCGTGCCGTGGTTCCTCCTGGCCCTCAGTGGGTCTGGACTCCTGCAGCTCAGGTGGAACCTCGTCTTTGACCGTGGACAGCTGGAGAACATCTGTGGGACAGAGAACCAGGGCTTTACCACCAGAAACACCCTACGTCATCACAACAGGCTCCGCCCCCTCGACCTCATCACGGTTGTGTTTGTGAACGACCGACGTCAGTAAATGTGAGAAAAAACACCCACTGTTTCACCAGGCGTTAGATGTCGAACTCAGAGTCAGGTTCACAGGAGGGTTTATTTGTTTGACAACATTTGATTTATTTTTTAGTTTAATTCACAGAAACTCAGTCCAGTTAGTAAAGAATGATGTGTATAATCTCCATGAGGTGGACCAGGTCCTGGTCCAGGTCCTGGTCCAGGTCCTGGTCCTGGTCCAGTTCTTCACTGTCAGATTTTTTCAAGTGTGAATTCTCTCGTGTTTCCTCAAACTTGAAGACAAGAAGAAGGTTTTCCCACACTGTGAGCAGCTGAATGGTTTCACTCCAGTATGGATTTTCTCGTGTGCTGTCAGACTGCCCTTTACAGCAAAACTTTTCCCACACGTACCGCAACTGAATGGTTTTTCACGTGAGTGGATCTTTTCATGTTTTTTGAGAAAACGTGCACGGGCGAAATCTTTGCCACACACAGAGCAACTGAACGGTTTCTCTTCAGTATGTATTTTTTCGTGGTCCTTCATGCTCCCCTTGTAGGTAAATTTTCTCCCACACACGGAGCAACTGAACGGTTGATTTCCGGTGTGTATTTTCTCATGGTTCTCCACGTTCTTCTTGGAGATGAATCTTTTCCCACACACAGTGCAACTGAAAGGTTTCTCTCCAGAATGGGTCAGCTGGTGTCTCCTCAACAGTGAAACCCAGAAAAAGGTTTTCCCACACTGAGAGCAACCGTGTGACTTCACCCCGTTGTGGCCAATCATGTGCTTCTTCAGACTCCAGTTTGTTGGAAATTTTTTCTCACACAATGAGCAACTAAACGGTATCTCTCCCGTGTGATCGGCCATGTGTTGCAACAACTTGGACCTGGAGCTAAACCTTTTACCGCACTCTGAGCAACCAAATGGTTTTTCTCCCATGTGCTTTTTTTCGTGTTGTCTCAGACTCCCACCAGTCGCAAAACGTTTGTCACATTGGGAGCAGTGGAACGGTTTCTCTCCTGAATGACTGACCACGTGTCTCAGCAGATCCGACTTGTAGGAGAATGTTTTCCCGCACTCAGAACACGACAACTTCCTGCCAACGGTCTCCCCGGGACCGTCCTGATGGTCCTCAGGTCCATCTGGACCGGGGTCCCTGGAGGGTCCAGGACCCGAGCCGTCCTCCTTGTCCTGAAGATGAGGTGGACGGCAGGAGCCAGGGTTCTTCTCCTCACTGACCTTCTCTGCAGACACGCCTCCAACAGCCGCCTCCTCCTCATTGGTCCACACCCCCTCCTCCTCCTGCTCCTCCTTGATGCCGCCGTGCCGTGGTTCCTCCTGGCCCTCAGTGGGTCTGGACTCCTGCAGCTCAGGTGGAACCTCGTCTTTGACCGTGGACAGCTGGAGAACATCTGTGGGACAGAGAACCAGGGCTTTACCACCAGAAACACCCTACGTCATCACAACAGGCTCCGCCCCCTCGACCTCATCACGGTTGTGTTTGTGAACGACCGACGTCAGTAAATGTGAGAAAAAACACCCACTGTTTCACCAGGCGTTAGATGTTTCCAGCAGGTGGCGCTGGTCGTCTGTGAGATCCTGACACAGAGTTCCTCCAATAATAAAAACAGGTCGAGTGTTCTGTTCTGACTTCCGGTCTGACGTCAGCTGATTTGATTTCTCTGCTCGACATTTGACAATTAATTTTTGTTTTTTAATTTTCTACAGTTCACAGCCAGAAACATCAAAGACCCGGTGCTAATAAAACGGACCATCACTAATATAGACACAAATAAATAAAAGTCTCATTTGATCACTGACGTCACTGAAGTCTTCAGTGACGTCACCAGAGTGAACCCACCTTCAGTGAACAGCCGAACCTCCGGCTTGTAAACGGCTTCCAGAAGTTTCTGTTGCCGCCGGTTCTCCTGCTTGGAGCGACTCAGCTCCTCCTCGTACTCCGCTATGGTTCTTTCGAACAGCTCGAAGATCTGCTCCGCGGCCGCAGTGAGGCGCTGCTCTACACTAGCTTTCAGCATCTGCACCTTTGACATGACGAGGATGAAAACAAACGAACGGCTAACGGGAGCTGGAGGCTAACACCGCGAGACAGGCGGCACCGGCGGCTACAAGCTAACTGTAGAAAAGGAAATGAATGATTTTAGAAGCTGCGCGGCTAACGATGCTAAGCTAAAGCCCACCGCGACGGCAAACGTTTTTTTTACGCTGTTTCTGTCCCGAAATCACAGAAAAGAATCCGAACTCGGCACTTTCCTTTTAGCTCATTTTCTTCTTCTCTTCCTCCTCTTTCACTGACTGTTGATAAACGGCGCCTCGGTCCATCACCGCCACCTGTAGGTGTGTATGACAAGTGCAGCTCAGACGATCAAACTTCACTGAGTGAAAAAAGAGAAATTCGAATAATTCGATTAGAGCAGATGAAGATGAGGTCGGATTAGATCGGATGTCAGGGTTTGACCTTTGACCCGAACAAACGTCTGTGTTTTTAACAGTGAATGTGATCGTGTTTGATGATGAACTCACAGAGTCAGGGTCACAGTAGGGTTTATTTGTTAGTACAATGTAGTAGTAGTAGTAGTAGTAGTACTAGTAGTACTACATGGTGTACATGATGAGGACCAGGTGTTTCTTCTTCTGATTGGTCAGAAACATTTTGGTGAATAACTGAAGTCTTGATTTATTTTTTAGTTCAGTTTGATTCACGGAAACTAAAAATCCCCAGAGATCGTCCGACTCTACCGTAGCTAACGTCAGCTAACAGTGACCTCGTCGTATCAGATGATCGACAGAAGAACAGATAAAAGGAAGTCGTTCAAATGATTCAGTTAGCATAATAAGCTACAGGAATATTTAACTAAACGACAACCAGGTCCATAAAATGGTAAATTCGCTAAAAATAACGACAACTGAGGAAAATGACGTCCGACGTGAACCCAGTGTTCGCGAAAAAAAGAAAAACGTTCAACTCCCGTCACCGAACAGCTGTCTGTTGTCATGGTGACCAACATATGGAGCCCAGTGTAGGTGTGTATCATGTCCATGAGGTGGTGCTGTAATTAGTTCTTAAACAGTTCCTGCATCGTAACCAGTCTGCGCGACCATCAACATCAGCCTCGCACTGGCGCTGTGGTCCAAACAGACAGGAAACTGAGCCGGCTGTCCCTGGTCCAGTCTCTGGTCCAGTCCCTGGTCCGGTCTCTTGTCCAGTCCCTGGTCCGGTCTCTGGTCCAGTCTCTGGTCCGGGCTATGGTCCGGTCTCTGGTCCAGTCTCTGGTCCAGTCTCTTGTCCGGTCTCTGGTCCAGTCTCTGGTCCGGTCTCTTGTCCAGTCCCTGGTCCGGTCTCTGGTCCGGTCTCTTGTCCAGTCCCTGGTCCGGTCTCTTGTCCAGTCCCTGGTCCGGTCTCTGGTCCAGTCCCTGGTCCAGTCCATGGTCCAGTCTCTGGTCCAGTCCATGGTCCGGTCTCTGGTCCGGTCTCTTGGCTCCAGGTTTTTTCACTTTGCTGTGAATTCTCTCGTGTTTCCTCAGGGTGCTCTTTTCCAGGAACCTTTTTCCACACATTGAGCAACTGAATGGTTTCTCTCCTGTGTGAATTTTCTCGTGAGCCCTCAGATTGCTCTTCTCAGTAAAACTTCTGCCACACGTCCCGCAGCTGAACGGTTTTTCACCCGAATGGATTTTCTCGTGTTTCCTCAGATAACGATCATGAGTGAAGCCTTTGCCACAATCAGAGCAACTGAACGGTTTCTCTCCAGAGTGAATCTTTTCATGAATCCTCATATAGCGCTCATGGGTAAACCCTTTACCACAGAAGGGGCAACTGAATGGTTTCTCTTCAGAATGAATCTTTTCATGCGACCTCAGGTTGCTCTTCTCGGCAAAACTTTTTCTACAAACCAGACAACTGTATGGTTTTTCCCCAGTGTGTGTTTTCTCATGTGACTTCAGATGGTACTCACGGGAAAACCTTTTACCGCACTCGGAGCAGCTAAATGGTTTCTCCCCCGTGTGAATTTTCTCGTGTGACCTTAGATTGCACTCATGTCGAAAGGTTTTGCCGCACTCTGAGCAACTGTAGGGTCTCTCTCCACTGTGGATTTTCTCATGGGCCTTGAGAGTGCTCATCTGGACAAAGCTTTTACCACACTCAGCACAACTGAATGGTTTCTCTCCTGTGTGAATTCTCACATGCTTTTTGAGTGTGCTCTTTTGGTTAAAGAATTTTCCACAGTAGGAGCAACCAAATGGTTTTTCTTCACCTCGGAACAGTTTATTTTTCGCTGTTTTTTTCCCCGGCCGTCCGTGGGTTTTCCCACAGTCGTCGGTACTACGGTCGGTCTCTGAAGAACATCCAGCCTCCTCTTCACTGACGTGTCCGTCGTCCGCGTTCTCCTCGATCTGATGTTGATAAAGAAGCCACGAGCGCTCTGGTTTCTCCTCCTCCTCCTCCTCGTCGTCTTCGTCTTCTTCACTCTTCACAGTCACAGCGATGATCTGTCCTTCCTCTTGTTTGATGGAAACTTCCTCCACCTCCTCTTTGATGTGGGGGCGCTGTGGTTTCTCCTGGACTCCACTGGGAGCCCACGCCTGCTCCTCTTTAATCTTCATCAGCTCCTGGTCTCCTGTCAGACAGAGCAGAAAGAATAAATAATAAAAAGTTAAGAGTTTAAAAATACAATTTCCTTTTTAAATATATATATATATATATTTAATATTTTTAAAATTTTATTTTTGTGTGTGTGTCTCTTGTAACTTCGCCTGTTTGCCCCTCTATTCTCTATTCTCGTTCCGCTTTTGCCCACACCAACATGGCGGCGCTGTTGACATGTCTCTACTCAGGCCTCGGCGGCTGACGTCAGTCTACAGCAGCTGTTAGCTTGGTTGTGTTAGCATGCTAGTTGGGGTGTGCTGTCGAAGCCGCGGTCGGGAGCAGAGACCGACCTGCTGAGGGCA